TTCAGCTCAAGGCTAGCTCGCTACCACTTGAGCCACAGTGCCACTTCTGATTTTTCTGGTGGTTTATTGGAGATGAATCTCATGGACTTTCCTGCCTGGGCTGGCTTTGAAGGGTGATCCTTAGATCTCAGTCTTCTGAGTAGCTACGATTACAGGCTTCTTTTGCTCAAGGCTAGCACTCTACCACTTGAGACACAGCACCATTTCCAGCTTGCTCTGTTTATGTGGTACTGAGGAATCAAACCCAGGGCCTCATGTATGCTAAGCAAGCACTCTACCAGTAAGCCACATTCCCAGGCCTGAATGATTGTTTTAACATGTACAATTTAAGGGATTCATGAAAACCTGTTACCTGTCTTGCTGCTGGAACCTCAGCAAGGCCATTCTGCCTGTTGCTTTTTGTGCTGTACCCTCCATGTTCTTCAGTTACTTTTCTCTGTGAGTCAAGTTCTTGCTTACCCCACTGCTTCTTGTATAAATACTTATTGAATATATTACAGGAATCATACTGACTGCTACGAATACACATTTCCTACTTTCTATTAGGACATGCCAAGGAATCAATTAAAATACAATAATATATTAAGTGCTGTCTTGGAAGATAGACAAGAAAAGAGGAGGGTTTGAATGAACTCTTGAGTATAAGGGCCAAACAGAATAAAAACAAAATTGAAAGACCATCCAGCAGTACCAGGGACAGTGGGTTTATTTTAGATAATTGAAAATGACTCAGCTGGTCACAGGTGGCTCATGTCTGAAATCCTAGTTACTCAGGAGGCTGAGATTTGAGGATCACAGGTCAAAGCCAGCCCAGGCAGGAAAACACATGAAACTCATTGCCAGTTAACCAGAAAAAGCTGAAGGAAATAGAGCTATAGCACAAGTGGTAGAGCCCTAGCCTGGAGCAAAAATACTCTTGAACAGCATCCAGGACTTGAGCTTGAACTCCAAGACTGCCTCCTGTTCCCCCCACAAAAGTGCTAAGCAAGAACTGAGTTCAATCCCCAGTACTAATATGCACGTGTGTATGTGTGCCTGCGCACACACACACACACACACACACACACACACACACACACACACACACACACAAATAATAAATAAATCATCCCTTCCTGGAATCAAATTAGGCCAAGTCTGAGAAGTATCTCTAGGCTTTTTGTGTGTTTGGAGACGTAATGTCAATATGTAATCCAGGTTGATTTTGAACTCCTAATCCTGCCTTAGGCTTATGAGTATGTATCTAGGTTTTTGACATGTCCATGATCATCGTGGAACACTCCACAAAGAGAAGGAGCCTTGAAGAATGTGAAGGGTGCCGGGCGCTGGTGGCTCACACCTGTAATCCTAGCTACTCAGGAGGCTGAGATCTGGGGATCACGGTTCAAAGCCAGCCCGGGCAGGAGAGACTGTGAGACTCTTATCTCCAAAAAAACCACCAGAAAACCAGAAGTGACGCTGTAGCTCAAGTGGTAGAGCGCTAGCCTTGAGCTGAAGAGCTGAGGGACAGCACCCAGGCCCAGAGGTCAAGCCCCACGACCAACAAAAAAAAAAAAAAAGGTTACAGTTGGAAAACACCATGACCTCCTTTGCAGTCTTGGATTGTTAAATTTCTTTCATCCTGTTCAGGTAGAATAGACTAGGGAAAATGGAGCACGAGAATCAAAAGCCAGAGCTTAAAAAAAAAAAAAAAAAAGCAAGTGAATGCATAGTTTGATGAACAGCATATATACCTTCCCTTTTTTTGTTGTTCGATTGTTTTTGTTGGTCATGGGGCCTGAACTCTGGGCCTGAGATCTTCAGCTCAAGCTAGTGCTCTGCCACTTGGGCCACAACATTACTTCCAGTGCCACAACACTATTTCCAGTGTAGTCTGCTTATGTGGTGCTGAGGAATCAACCCAGGGCCTTGTGCTCGCAAGGTAAGCACTCTACCACTGAGCATGCAGCTCCCTCCCTCTGGCCTTGCCCACATGCTCAAAAACTTACTATGTTCTAGGACATGAGGAAAGACTATCTTAAAGACCCCTGGAAAAATAATTCGGTAAAATGACCCATTTGATTACAGAAGTAATCAAGAATAATCATTTTTTTCTTTTTGCAAAAAAAAAAAAAAAAAAAATAAGGAAGGATACTTGTCTCTACAGGCGTTCAGGTAAACTCATCTCTTACCTCAAAAGGAACACAGAAGGAAATGGACATCATGTCACAACAACCCTAGTAAACTAATCAGACCCCCACCAATAACCAGTAACATTTCAAGAAGCAAATTGGTCTCTTCTAAGTTATGGAATCTCTCTAAGTTTCTAGCTCTGGCTCACCTAGGAAGTCTAAAAATACTGATAATAGAAATTAGGACAATGGTTTCTTCTGGTGTGTGTCAGGGTCCATTGAGAAGAGACATGGGAGAATTTTCTAGAGTGATGAAAATGTCCTATATCTTTTTTTTTGGTTTGTCGTGGCCTTTGAACTCTGGGCCTCCTGGGCACCTGACCCTGGCTCTTCAACTCAAGTCTAGCACTCTATCACTTTGAGCCACGGTACCACTTCATCCTATATCTATTGAGTGAGACAAGCCAAGCTCATAAAACAAGATATTCTATATTTTCACTCCTGTGTGGACTGCTAAAAGACATCTTCATGAGCATAAACAGAAGTATATGGACTTTATTATATATCATATATATATTTATATTTAAAATCATATATTGAGGCCAGCCCAGGCAGAAAATTCCGAGACTCCTTTCTCCAAGTAACCAGCAAAAGAAAAGAGCCTAAATTGGAGGCGTGGCTCACAGGCACAATACAAAAATTAAAATACCCTGATAAACATTCCGTGTGTAAATTATGCCTCAAGACTGAAGTGTGGATCTTTTCTTTTTCCCGAATGGTTTTAAATACTGATGCTCTTTTCTGACCCGGTTATATTCAAATCTGCACCGCAGCTGGTTCTGATGCGCAGCCGGGAGTGTCGATCCACGCCGGGCTCTGCGGCCCGGATCCCCCTGCGGCCACTTTTCGGCGCCCCCTACTTGTCCGAGGACCCCAGGGGCGCGGCGGGGAGGCACTGCACACCCTGAGCCTGCCGATCCCCGCTCTGCGGCGGCGGCCGGATCTGGAAGAGAAGCCACCTCCCCAAATCAAGTAGAACCCCAGTCTGTGCGTACAAACATCCAGGTAAAGCTGAAGCCGGAACAACAAGTTGCACAATAGCCATAAAGAACCCTTCCTGCGTAGATGGGCGGCGGGCCTCGTGGCGCAACGGTAGCGCGTCTGACTCCAGATCAGAAGGTTGCGTGTTCAAATCACGTCGGGGTCAACTTGTTTTCTAAGCAGTTACAATTTTTTTAACCCTCTGTATTTAACTCTTTATCCAACCTCAAGTCAGAGGAGAAATAGAGACGGAGTTCACGGGGATTTCACAGTGTTGTTTGTTTTCTGCGCTGAGGTTTTTTTTTTTTTTCTTTTTTGGTTCTTGAAAGGTTTCTTACAACATACTGCTTTGGTGACTCAAGCTGCTCGGAAATCGGGCGTGTTCATATCCCAGAGAGAAGAAAGCAGAGGAGGACGGTGTAGACGAGGTGGCCGAGTGGTTAAGGCGATGGACTGCTAATCCATTGTGCTCTGCACGCGTGGGTTCGAATCCCATCCTCGTCGACGCGCTGAAGTTGGCTTCCCAGTCAGTTTTATGGTTTCTCAACACCCAAGTTACAGATATCATTGCTCTATCAACCTGATTGTCATTTCATCTTCATTTTCCGGTGCTGCCAAGAACCCTTTAATTGCACCTCGGTCTCTCGTGAAATTGACCTGGCCAAGGGATCAAGGCCCTGTCTCTTGTGCTTTGGTGCCGTGGCTTAGTTGAATGACCTTTCTGGTAAACAGGTAGACCCTGGGTTCAAATCCCAGAGGTTCCCCCTCAGGGGTCACTAAACTTTCAGGGAGAATGTTCTTGTAGTTTGCTTTTTTTTTCTTTTTCTTTCTTATCAAGTTAAATTATATGACTTTTCCACATCTCCATGCATCTTCTCTCACCCCAAACGTCCATTTTTTTTTTTTTTTTTGTTTGGGCAAAGGTGCTACTATCCTGTCCTTTGTGCATGTCATTAATTGCTCTCTTACAATTAAAAACTAATTCGATCCATATCTGTTTTTCCGTTTTGCCGTTAAGTTGAACTTAAGTGTTTATTGGATCAATTTATGTATATGTTTTCATGTCTTTTAAATTATTCTATCCTTACAGATGTTTACTAGACAAAGAGTATTAAGTAGTACTAGTTGGATACATTTATATACTTTCAAATCAGGCCTGCAAGCCCAGCTGGCCGGTTAGCTCAGTTGGTTAGAGCGTGGTGCTAATAACGCCAAGGTCGCGGGTTCGATCCCCGTACGGGCCATCTTTGGAATACTTTTTTTTTCCCTCCAGTGTAATTGCTTCGTTCCTTAAATAGTATTTCATCCTAAAACACTTAACATATTAAAAAGAAATTACTTGGTATTTTTAAAATGGGAGTACTAATAGTTCTTTTGACATCTAAATTTCAGTACTATAGCATAGCCTAGAACTACATGAACCATAAAAAAGACTGGTAGTGACTGAGATTGTTTCAAATACTAAAGTGTAGTCAAATCAGTAAAGCAAATGTACCATGATTAAGCTGTCAAATGCTCCTTCCTCCACAGCCTAAATATCAATCTACCATCCCACACCAGTCCAGGAGGCTCTAAGAAGTTAACCCCTTCCTCCCTCCCCCCCACCCCGCACACCCGCCCCCCATTCCAGAAACCTAGTTTGTGTCTCTTCTTTCATTCTGGGCCCCTGTATGTGATCTGTCTCACATTCCCCCTCTAACATCTACTGCTAACAGCAGGAACTATATCCTTCCCCAGCCAGCCAGGGAACTCCACATCCACCCCAAGGACAGCTCCATGAAGAGCAACTTTTATTCCCATCCTTTGGCTAGTCAACCCCCAGAACCCCATACAGACAAAGACTCAGCCTTAGCAGCAGCAGCAACACTTTTAATTCCACAAAAACTCAGAAAGCCAAAACTGATTAGAACACTCCACAACAGGTGGGCTTCAAAACCAGCGACAATTCTTCTTGAACCCTGAGAGCAGTGAGACCCCTCCTACCTCACCTCCTCCACCACGCAGCGCGTTCCTCCCAGCTACACTCCAGTTCAGGCTAGGGAAGTGGTGTGGTAAGCGACCAGGGAGAGAAGCAGGAGGTGATTCATCTTCACGTATGTATCTTGCCTGCATGGCGTGCGACCCATGACTACTCAAGCTCCCAAAGCCCCTGACACCTGAGAATATGGCCACGGAGTCAGATGGCCACATTGGGGCTGGGGGCCTCCTCTGTTCCCTTCTCTTGATCACAAAAATGGGAGTCGCGTCCCCACCCTCAAGCCCAGACTCAAGGCGCTGGGTTCCCAGGGATGGTGCTCTAGCTAGGGAGAAAGAGTTGGGGGAGAAGAAGGTAGCAATAAATGGCTAAATTAGTAGAAGCAGAGCAACATCCCGTCCCACCAAAACTGTCAGGACTTCCCCAGTACAACTCCTGCAGGCCCCAGTGAGCAGGCGGCCACAGGTCAAGTTAGATGCATCTCTCCAACACACCGGCTCCTGGGGAGAGAGTCCTCGGGGTCCTGCTGGGCCCCGCGTCCTGGGGCCAGGAACGGCCTCTTCCGTGCTCCTGATCACTTGCACAGGGCCTCCAATACTTCCAGTGTGCGTCGGATGTCTCGGACCTGGCGCGCCAGCCCCTGCACCGGCTGCAGCGCCCGCTCCAGCTCCTCGCAGCGCGCCAGCAGCGTGTACATGCCCTTGATGCTCATGTCCACCGCTTCCCCCAGGGAGTCCACGGCGTCGCGGTAGGTCTGGATGCAGCCCACGCTCAGCGCCGTCAGCTCCTGCACCGCGCCCCCCAGCCCGCGCAGCAGACGATCCACCCGACCGCCCAGTTCCCGACTCAGCCGTTCCAGATCCCGCAGCACGTCAGGGTCGATGGGCGGGATGCTGGACGCGGGGGCCGGGGGCAGGCCTGGCCGCGCCGGGGCCGGGGCCAGGGCGGCAGGGGCGGCACTCAGACGGATTTTGAGTTGCAGGTTGTTCGCCACGAAGTGGGTGAGGTCGCCGTGCCGGCTCACGGTGCCCTCCAGCTCCAGGGGACTGGAGATGGTGGCGCGGCGCCCGCCCCCCGCGCCGGGCTCGGCGGCCCCGGCCGACCCCGCGCCGCCGCCGCACGCCCCACTCAGCCCGTCCAGGCTGCGGCTGTCCTGAAGGCGGCTGGAGAAGGAGCGGCCAGCGCGCCCGGCCGCCGCCGCCTCCTCCTCCTCCTCCTCCTCGTCCTCCAGCGCCGCCGCCTCCTCCTCGTCCGCGTTCATCTCCACGCCTCCCGGGCTCCCCCGACGGCAGATCCTCTCCGAGGCAGGCTCGTCCTCAGGCGGCTCGGGGTCTGGGTGCCACAAGGACCGGGGCGGGCCATGCTCGGAAGCCGGCGCCCTTCGGCGGTCCTCGGTCCCAGTCAGCGCCTCCCGGGGCCCGGGCTCGTCCGGCCAAGCCTCGGGCCTCCGGTGGACAGAGCCGCTATGGGAGACCTTCGGGGTCGCTCGCGGGGGGCGGCTCACGATCCCAGCCTTCTCGGCCTCTTCCTCCCCGGACACCCTCAGAACTGAAGGCGGCTTGGAAGGCATCCGGCTCGGCCGGCTGCTGAAAACCGCGGCCTGCTGCTGCTCCCCAACAGCTAGTACGTCTGCTCCGGACCCCAGCCGCCCCCGGGACGACTCCATACTGCGAATGGGGGGCCGGAACCCAGGGATTGGTCCCCCCGCCGCCGCCCCCCCCACCCCTCAGGAGGCGGCGGCGCCTTTAAGGGGCGTTAGTAGAGGCGGGCCGATTGGCCGCCGACTGACAATGGTAAGGACAGGAAGGACGATTTGATTGGTCGCGACGATCAGGAAGTTCCGGAAGAAGGGCTGTTATTGCGCGGCGGAGCCCACGTGAAAGGCAGCGGGGAGGAGCCAAGGAGGTGACAGCTGCGGCGCGTCGCCCCGCCCCTTTCGGAAGTCGTGGGGACGGTTCTTAAAGGTGTAGGGCCTGAAATACCGGAGTCCCGCGGGGGCGGAATTCAGACGTTTTCCGCCCACGCTCGCCACGCCCACACTCTTTGCTTCCCGGGCGCCACTCACGGGAATCGATCTTGGGGTTCTTATTGATTTGGGGGGGATGGAGATGGCGAGTCCTTCTTAGGTTGAACGGCTCTGGCACCGAGTCAACTGGATCCTAGCTACTCAGAGGTTGAATCTGAAGATGTCAGTTCGAAGCCAGCCCCAGGCAGGAAAGTCCACGAGACTCTGATCTCCAATTAATCACCACAAAGTTGGAAGTGGAGCTGTGACTCCAGTGGTAGAGCGAGCGCTAGGCCTTGAGCAAAAGAGCTGGGTGACAGCACCCAGGCTCGAAGGGAGAAAAGTCTGGGCTGAGCTTGAACCGTTGACGAGTTCCATCCTCTTTCGTTAACCGACCTGGCAGTTGAACGGCCTGAGAGGAACTCACAGACGGTGACCAGCCGAAGCCTAGAGACACTTCTGGCTTTTGATGCTTTGTTTTCTGTCTCCTGCCCTCTCGGCAGGCCTCTTGGAGGCTGAGGAAAGGACAATTAGCCCTGGAAGAGACAAAGAAGGCTTAACAGGAAGTCAGATTAAAAGGACTAGGATGATTTGATGTGTCATTGCTGGTTTGAAGATGAGGTGGCCAACCCTGTGAGGAGGAATGTGGAAAGTTTCTAGAAACTTGAGTGTTCCCCCACCACACACACACTTAAAACCCAGCAAGGAAGTCAGGTTCTCCATCCTACAATCACAAGGAACTGAATTCTGCCACCAACCAAAATTCCCTGAAAGTGGATTTTTCTCCAATCTGCAGACAAGAACTCAAGCTGGCCAAGACCTTTGATTTTTTTTTTTTTTTAGCTTTTGAGGTTCCCTGAACAGAGAACCCAGCCATGCCATGCCAGACTCCTGGCCTACAGCACGGAATGAATTTTATGATGAGACAGAAGAAACTAAGAAGAGTCTCTGCTCTCCCAGAAACATGGACAAAAGGGTGCTGAAGAGCCGGGCAGCAGAGGAGTATGCAAGGATAAACACACTTCCCCCATGTGAGGGGATGGGGAGGGAAGTTTCTGGTCTCCAGGCAGCTTTTCAGCTCACCTCCTTCAGCATTGGATGCTTTGGAAAACCAGTGTGGTGACATGAACCCTGTTGACTGGAATCCCAAATGGACAAACCTTCCTTCCTGTGCTAGATGTGGTCCTCAGATGCCAGGCACACAGCGCACGTGGCTGGATCCACTCCATGAAGTCGTGATTCCCAGCGTCCAGAATCCTGTTGTCTCTCTATTGGTTATATATGGTTTTATATGTCCACCCCTTTCAGTGAAACTACTTGATTCCTAGATTTGGGGGGATGTCATACATTCTTAGGATACACATAATAATTCTCTTATTCACCTCCCCACCCCCTTCTAGCCCTGTTTGCTGTCATGAGTCAGGCTGGGGAGGGAGTTTTCTTCTGATGACATGCCCTGGGAGGACTTTCTGCTCCCTGTATTATTTGCTCATGTAGGTGAGACAGGAGGCAGCCACAGAGCCCTGCTGGCTGCGGGACAGGGAAAGTAGGAATGGGGTAGGGGGAAGAATCCCCTGCAAGCTGCAGAGGAGAATGGCATTCAGGGAGGCTCTTCTGCAACCCTTCTGCCCTGACTGCTTGCTGTCTTCAGGCAGCTAATATTCAGATGGCAAGATGGAAGGCAATGTCCTGCATGCTGTTTCACTGAATTTTCTTCCTAGCAAGGATTCGTAGCTCTCATGGGTTATAACTCAGGTCTGACATACAGAACAGTCATGATTGGGGGGAGTGGTTGAGGAGCGTATCTCCCTATGCCATAGGCCAACTCCATGAATGTTCCTTTTTGTCTGAGCACATCAGAGTATCTCATAATGTGTCCCAGCATGGGCCTCAGCCTGGGCGTCCACAGTTAGCAACTAATTGACGTTTTGCTCCTGTGGAGACAGTTGAAATGGAAAGTCATTCCTTGCAGAAAAGTATATCTAGGTTCCATCCGTCTACCTTTGGGAGTCACAATATCCTTGCTGCTAGGAAAGTTCCAGGCCTCACCATGAACTTGGTGAGCAGTTCAAAATTGCTGACCCTTGTTCTCCAGGGAATACCTAGGATGCCTGACCATGCTTGTGAAGCAGGTGCTGCTCTACTGCTGAGCCACATCTCCAGTCCCAAGTAGTATTTATCAACTGCAGTAGTGGGGTTTGAACTCAGGGCCTAGTGATTACTAGTAGGCAGGTACTTTTGTCAGTTGAGCCATGCCCTAATCCTATTTGCTCTTTTTTTTTTTTTTTGGTACTGGTACTAGGGCTTGGTCTTAAAGGTTTTTATTTTTGACATAAGGCCTCATGTTTTACCTGGCTGGCCTAGACTATGACCCTCTTATTTAAGCTTCCCAATAGATGCATGTCACCCCAACCAGTTTCATGAGGCCCTTCTGTCCCAGCATCTGTAGGATACACAGAGTGTGGTACTCTCCTGCCCTTGTATGCTCTATCACAAGATAGATGTGTTCCACTGTTTCGATGACTTGGAACATCCTGACATTAACTGCAGGTATAACAGTGAGATTCCTGCTTTCCCAGACACCTAGGTATCTGTGAGGTGGTAGCAGGCAAGTTTGGAAAAATGTAGTAGGGACCCATCCCTACAGAGGACATGGGCAGAGTTAAGCATTATTAAAGCACTGTTAAATGTTATTAAAGTACTGTTACAGATATGCCTGTTAAAGATAATTTTATTGAGTTGTACAGAAGGGCTACCATTGTTAGTACACTTTTCGTTTTTGTTAACTATTGTTAAAGCACTGTTACTGAGAATCCTTTGTTATAAGCACGTTTTGGGTTTTTAATTTTTATTTTTGTCAGTTATGAGACTTGAACTTATCATAGCCTGGGCACTGTCCCTGAACTCTTTTGCTCAAAGCTAGCACTCTACCACTTAGAGCTAAAGCACCACTTCCAGTTTTCTGGTGGTTAATTGGAGATAAGTCTCATAGACTTTCCTGCCTAAGTTGGCTTTGAATTATGATCTTCAGATCTCAGTCTCCTGAGTAGCTAGGATTACAAGCATGAGCTACCAGCATCTGGCTCAAGCACATGTTTTGAAGGCCCCTTTGATCCAATAGAAAACCAACTACAAGTATCCTTCTTGCTATCCTTCTGATATTACAATAAAGGCTTTCCCTTGAAACAAAACTTGACATCAAAATTTGGGGGAATGGGGGGAGGCAGGAGAGACATTGGGGCTAACACAGAATGTGTATGAAGGAAGATTTCCAGCCATGAAGCTGAAGAGGCAGTGAAATGAATGACAGAAAAGTAACAAAGGCTTTGTTAGGGGGTGGGTGGCTATCAGTGGGAATGAGGACAGCTAAATGAGGATGAACGGTGGGAGTATTTATCTCCATGTATGAAAACAGAACAAAGAGGCCATTTGGCATCATCAGTAGTAGAGTTTCTGAAAGCAGGGTTAAGTTACTAAATCAGAACAAAGTACCTGGCCAGCACTCAACTTTGTAAAGACTGGAGCTCTTACAATTTTTTTTTCTTTTTCTTTTGCCAGTCCTGGGGCTTGAACTCAGGGCATGGGTACTGTCCCTGAGTTTCTTTTTCTTTTTTTTTTTTGGGTCCGGTCGTGGGGCCTGAACTCTGGGCCTGGGCACTGTCCCTCAGCTCTTCAGCTCAAGGCTAGCGCTCTACCACTTGAGCCACAGTGCCACTTCCGGCTTTTTTCTTTTTGCTTATGTGGTGCTGAGGAATCGAACCCAGGGCCTCGAGCATGCAAGGCAAGCGCTCTACCACTGAGCCACCTTCCCAGCCCCGAAAAATCCTCATTTTTTTTTTTTTTTTTGGTCGTGGGGCCTGAACTCTGGGCCTGGGCGCTGTCCCTCAGCTCTTCAGCTCAAGGCTAGCGCTCTACCACTTGAACCACAGCACCACTTCCGGCTTTTTTCTCTTTGCTTATGTGGTGCTGAGGAATCGAACCCAAGGCCTCATGCATGCAAGGCAAGCGCTCTACCACTGAGCCACCTTCCCAGAGTTTCTTTTTCTTAAGGCTAGCGTTCTACCACTTAAGCCACAGTGCCACTTCTGGCTTTTTCTGCTTATGTGGTGCTGAGGAATCAAACCTAGGGCCTCATGTATGCAAGGCAAGAACTCTACCACCGAACTATCTTACCAGCCCCTACATATGGTTCTTTTTTTTTTTTTTTTGTCAGTCATGGGGCTTGAACTCTGAGCCTGGGCACTATCCCTCAGCTCTTCAGCTCAAGGCGAGTGCTCTACCACTTGAGCTACAGCGCCACTTCCTACATATGGTTCTTGATGCTTTGTTTTCTTGAGTAAAGTCGGTGTCCAAGCAGAATCTAGCACTTGATGGGATCAGTGGAGCACTGTCCAATGGATCGGAATGGCAGTGGCACTTGGAATATTTGTGTATGTGTGCAAGTACTGGGGCTTAAACTCAGGGCCTGGCTGCTGTACCTTTGCTGTTTTGCTCTACCCCTTGAGCCACAGCTCCACTTCTGGCATTTTTGCTGATTCAATAGAGATAAGGGCTGGCTTTGAACCCTGATCCTCAGCTCTCAGCTTCCCTGAGTCACTAGATTACAGGCATAAGCTACCAGAGTGCCACACATACTTGGCTTTTTTTCTTTTTAAACTTTTAAATTATCTTTAAATAGTTGTACAAAGGGTTTTCAATTCAACATGTACCCACATACAGAATTTCAA